CTACAACAACCACACCTACGACCACCACATCAACAACTACTACACATTCAACCACAACTGCACCCACCACCATTACCACAAGTACTGCAAAAACTACTACCACAGCTATCCCCACAACCACCTTCCTCCAGACAACCCAACCAACGACCAACCTAACAACCACTCCATTAGTCTTCACCTGTCCAATGGAACCAATGTCTCTGGCCTCATATCAGCACAGAAGCAAAGTTCAGCAGTGCAAGTCCCAGCTGATGATGTACACCGCACTGCTGGTTGTGGAGATTATCTGCACACTGGTGCTGGCTAAGTTCACCCTGTCTCTTTACTGCCTGCTGCAATTCAGAGAGAAGAAGTATCACAGGGTCAAACTCACACGCTTCTCCTACAGGAAAGAGATCATCCTGAGGCCTTTACAAGAGGAAGAGACTCGAGGACTTTAAACAAGAACAACAATATTTAACAGAGAGTTCATTGCTCTAATCACTATGATGGTAAAAGATCAACGAGCAGTCAAAACACCTACAAAAGATTTCTTAAACCTGCAATTCTAGATTTATTTTGTTGTCACCTTCAAAAGTTCGAATATTTGTAATATGCTGCACACTGCTAAATCGATATGAGTCACAACATTTACACATAACACCATCATGTGGCGCATTGTCAATATGAAAGAATGGATTAGGGCACCTTGAAATAATAGGTCGATTCAATTTTAAGAAAATGTACAATACACATTCTTAATAAAACACATTACCAATCATGCTGAATGCTGAGACTTTTTTTCTGTAAAATATTTCACAAGAACAGCAATGATATGTCGCCAACATAATGATTTAAACTTTTGACAATTAACAAGCTTCTAGCCAAGATTCAGTTGTACAGCAGGGGGAGCCACAGATCTACAACACTTCTAATTCTGTCTCATTCACAGAAAACAAGTCCACTCAGTAGGTTTATTTAACACACAGTGAAATTGATGTGCAACCAAGATGATATTGTAGAAGTCTGAATAAAAGATCATGGCATGTTTCATCTAGTTTTATTTTCTTCCTTCATCAGTGGGTTTCTTTTATGTTTCTCTGAAGAACAGAAGAATCTCACACGTCATAACCTGAAGAAGTTGCAGAGTGAAAAACACTGAGCAGGAGTCTGGTGTTTGGCACGTCTGTCTGTCTGATAGCTAAAGGTTAAATACATTCATTAGGCCTTTTATAAGATAGTACCACAGGAACAGAGCGGGTGACTGGATTCATTAACCCAGTGCACATGTGTGGGAGTTACATGTGTATGCCAGTGTGTGTATGTGTGTGTGAGTGTGAGATAGAGATAGAACCTGTATCTTCTTAGAGTCTGAGTAATTGAGTTGCGTTTTTCTTATGGTATAACAGAATGATGAATATGACATTGAACTACAAGTAATTATGAGGTTAAGTGTTGACTGTAATTTGAGGGTGTTTATATATACACCAAAAAAAAACATATACCATAGGCCTCTAAAGGTAACACAACCTTTACTTTGCTATACAATGACTTGAAGTGACATGTTTCATCACTCAAAGCTGGCCAGTTAAAAAACTAATTCAGACAAATATCAAGACACGTGACTCAGACCACAGGTCTCATTATCAATGATAATATGCAGCTGCTACTGAGCCATTAATAAACTGTCAAACTTCTGTTTCCTCGCTGCCTTTGACTTCATATATCTCTTCATTGTGAAACTGTTTTAATCTCTTGCTGTGACCGGACAAAAGACGTAGCAAAGATGTGAATCTCTTCCACCAGAGGGCACTTCTGTATCGGACATAACAGCAAACACAGACTAGAGGGGGAAAAAAACATTAATTTAATTCTAAATTGTTCCCTGAGGTGCTTCTCCCCTTCAGCAAAACCGTTGTGTTGCATTACAGATGAGGTTCCCCACTAAAATCAAGTGACACTAATAAGATAATCTAGTTTCCAGTAAAATGTAAAAGTTAAGCAGATAAGATCCAAACTGAGATTACTCCAGACATGGCACCTTATATAATGCCTGAAGGCTGACTCTTCTGTTAAGGAAAAATGTTATGAGGTTGTGCCAGACAATGAGAATAGTGAATGAAGACACTGAACGAGGGTAACATAACTTTACTCTATCCGATTTACCTCAGGGGCTGTATGGTAAAATACACACATTTCAAGTTACATCAGAAGTAGTGCTGTGATGCTGGAAGAGGGAAATGATAAGTGAGGAGCAACATTAGAATGTAAACCAAAATTAAAAATGCATTTGTCAGTTTCTTCAGCACAAAATCAAACACACAGCCAAACATCTGACGTCTGCAGCTGAAGACCAACACACAAATCGACTGCAAGACGATGAGAAGCCCTAAGAGTTGTGCTGCTAAATATTTAATTCCTCTCTGAATTGCAGCTAAGTGTAATGCACAGTTACTTTTGTCAAGTCCTCTCCTATGATGCAGCATCACAAAGCTATTCTCGTCTCTACATGGAGTAAGAAGTCTGATGTCTTTATTATTCATCCATGTTTGAGTGACTGGAGTATTTTAGTCCACGCTGTATTTGCCTCCCTGCGTCTCCGTGATTACAGACAAGTTGTTAGAACTTTGTGATACGTCTGAAGGGGAAACAGTCATATCATCATCTCCTCTACAACACTATTAGGAAGATATCATATATATATATCATGCAACTTTTTAATCTTAAACTCCTACAGGCTGCTAAAACTCCAAAATTCACGATGAAAAAAGAATCTCGGCGTGATCTCAGTGTCTTAAATGAAAGCTAAGGCCTTTTTTTACATTTTAATGTGGAGAGCAACATCAGAAGATGTTTTGAGCCACGAGGATCAGTTCTCAGCACAATCCATTTGGCCATGTTGTTAATTTAAGAAGAGTTTTTATTTGATCACATTCATGGCCAGATGTGCATTAAAATGCTCATCGCTCCTTATTGCATATTAAAGTTACCTTGACAGAAACAAAGGGACTGCAAAGCATTACTTTCCAAACTAGTGTAGGAGTTAGAACCACCTTGTGTTCCAAAGATATATATGTAGGTGGTCAGAAAATGATTGTGCAGTAAATAAGAAAATCATGTAATTGTGCAATATACACGTTATGTTTTTCTCACCTGGCACTCTCATTATTCTTCGTGTTTTTCACCTAAAATAAAATCTAAGGAGAAAACCAACTCTCTGCTCACTCATGTCCAATAAAACCTGAGATGAGGGTACGTAAGTAGACATATCTCCATTTTACAGGATCACAATCCCAAACATCTGGACTCTGCTGCTGTAAAGAATCCTCCCATGGGATATCTGTTCAGAACTTTCAGTGAGTCATGCCAGCGTGTAAAAACCCTCACATCCTCATGAAGATTCGGCAAAAGTTCAGCAAAGATCTTTTCTCTTGTGTCGTTCTAATCCGTCATTTCTACTTTGACAATTTGTCAACCTCCTGATAAAACATTATCGTTTCTGATGTCACCAAATCTGACCAGTAAACTTCCTGATTGCATCAGTCCCTAGATGTTGTTCTTTAAAAAAAACTTTTCTTCAATTATGGCCTTTTAGACCTACTTTTGAGTCACCCACCACCTATTAATCACCACCATGACCTCCAGGGTTTCCATCAACCATGTAACTTCACACAAGTGTCTTGACTCCAGACACCAGATATTTTCATATGGCCCCATGCTAAGTGAAGTATTCAGCAATGATGGAGTCTAATCTCTAAAGTCTTGCTCTGTTGTTAATCCCAGTAAATATAGCTATACACTTAAGATTAATCTCTCGTATCTCTCCGTGTTGAAGTGGCTGAAGTGGACTGTCTCTCTGAATTTCCATTGCATCCACAGAAATGTCCAACTTTACTTCCAGGAACTTTAAAATATCCATTCATGTCCTGAAGCAACATCTTTATAAGTGAACTGCCTCATCGCCTCAGTGTTTCTGCAATTTTAAAAATCCTTTTTATGCGCTTTTTTTTTGTTTTTGTTGCTTTTACCATGTTTTTCTCTTTGCCACCGGGAAGCAGTTTTTCACCGAAAAATTACGACTTGATTTACTGAAACTCCTTCACCTTGCTTAACCAATACAAGGTAGGGAGGGGATATCGCTCTTTGGATATCTATCCTCAGTGATGGAAATGACAGATGGAATGGCGGAATTGACAAACTCGCAACAGACAAAGAGATAAAATGAGAGTGAACCTCACACAGGCACCAGGTGGAGCGATGGCCAGGACAACATCCAGTTTGGCTCTTTCTACTCATACTTTTTCTTCTGATGCTTAATTCTAAAAAAACACCCCCCCCAATCATACACCATCCCCTGTTTTTACTTGATTGTGCAAAGACTTAGCATAACCCAAAGTA